CAGGAGCAGGTCTCCTCAGGCACCGAGGGGAAGGGTGGAGGACAGACTGACTTCCAAGAGGCTCTGGGGGAGAAGAACTGGCTTCAACACTGGCTAACCTTGAGCATGTTAAGTCACCTCTCTCTCCATCTTGTTTCCTCACATGTATGGTGCTGGAGATGACACCCAGCCTCGTGCGTACGTGCCAGGTCAGCGCTCTGCCACTGAGCCACACGCCGGCCCACCCACATCTCCACTCAGCTAAAGGTGAACACATCTGCTGGGAAGGACGGTACCTGAAAAGTGAAACGACAGCACAGAGCACAGAGGAGGGAAGAGGACAGCCGCCATGCTGCAAGGGACCCAGACCACACACAGGTGTTTCAATGACAGCCCCAGCTGGCCCTAGCCAGCTGCAGCTACCAGTGGAAGTCTTCGAGATGTCCAGCCTCAGCCACCTCTGGCTATGGCCACCTGAGGCCCTGTGTGAGAACCACGTCAGCCCCTAGATACACGACAGGAAATAATCAGGAAATAATCATAAGTGATTTCTGTTGTTTTTCCCACTTAGTGTGACAGCTAGATAATGACAACAGAGAAGTGACAAGGTGTTGGGGAACAATACCAATTGAATACCCCATTAAAACAAGCATCCTACGGTGTGTGACTCAGCAGTGGTGCCACAGGTACTTAGAAACTGCTTTTGCTGAGGAGCACTGGCTCCCCACTTGGACCCATGAATTAACTAAAAGCAGGAGAAAAGCTTGGTTTCCCTGCCTTCCTTTCTGTGTCTTTGCTCTAAGTCTTTCTCTCTACAGTTCTCACCTTGTAGCCACCATGGAATCCAGAAGACAGAGTGAACTTTTATGAGAAAAATAAAGGCTGGACCCTGGTGGCTCATGCCTGTAATCCTGGCTACTCAGAAGGCAGAGATCAGGAGGATTGGGGTTCTAAGCCAGTCGGGGCAAAAAATTTGCGAGGCCCTATTCAAAAATACCCAACACAAAACAGGGCTGGTGGAGTGGCTCAAGCAGTAGAGCACCTGTTTAGTAAGCCTGAGGCCCTGAGTTCAAACCATAGTACCACCAAAAATAAAAAATGTTTTCAAATAAGGATTTTTGGGGGAGGGGGGGAACTGGGGTTTGAACTTAGGGCTTCACATGGCAGGTGCTCTACTATTTGAGCCACACCTCCAGTCCATTTTGCTCTGCTTATTTTGCAGATGGGTTCTCCCAAACTAGTGATCCTCTGGATCTCAGCCTCCCAAGTAACTAGGATTACAGGCATGAGCCACCATGCCTGGTTGATAAACAAGGTTTTGAAAGGTTGATAAATAGTTCAAAACCTTTTTAAGCCTGTTCAAGACAACGCTGGGACGGAGTGTGGTCTTCAGGCCACCAGCGGTCCCTCTCTGCTTCTGCAAAGTGGAGTGGCTACAATCTGCACAGCTCCTTCTTTCTCCAGGGACCACCCCACCCCATCTTCATGGCCCAGTGAAGCTCTGTGTTCCTACACAGTTGGCCACTGTCGCTTGCCCCAGGGGTGGGCATCTGACCCACCTTGGTTTCATCACAATTCTTTCTGGTAATGTATTCAGTAAGACCAAGGGGAAAGAGCAGCTGGGAGGGGAAGCCATGAGAAATAGAGGTCAGCCAATGTTGGTGGAGGGCGGCGTGCAGCTCAGTGATACAGAGCTTATCAAGCATGTGTGAGGCCTGGGTTCCATCCCAGGCCCATGTAGCAGAAGCCAGTCTGCTGTGGGAGAAAGGAGCTCCAACCAGAAAGAAGCAGGGGTGAGGGACAGCGTCCTAGAATCACCAAGATGGGGACTTCCTCCCTCCTCTCTACAAGCCCATTTGCATCCTGCTCTTTCCACAGTTGACTCTTCTTTCTGTTCTCTGAGATTCCTTGTCGTCCTTCCAGTGGATTCTCCCTTTGGCCTGTCTTTTCAAGCTGATGTGACATGTATACCCAGTAAGTTTTAATACAGGAATTCTAGAGGTTTTAAGTAGGGTAAAAGCCATGAGCAAATTTATTTTTTAAGAACAATAATTTTGGCAAGAGATGGGTTGGAAGAGGAAGAGAAGAATGACGCTTAGATGACAAAGGAGATGGCAGGAGCAATGGCAATGGGAGGAGGAGGAAGGGTCTAGCGAGGCAGTAGACAAGGCTTAATGACCATGGCATAAGCAATTCACTAGACCTTTTTGTGTCATGTTCTTATTCAAAAGCTAAGGTTAAAAACCACCTGCCTAAACTGGGCATGCCTATAATCCCAGCACGCTGAGGCTGAGGTGAGAGCAGAGAGTACAAGGCCAGCCTGAAGTACATATTGAGGCCCTGTCTCAAAGAAAAAAATCTAAAAACCCCTCCTTAGAGCCAGTGCCAAGGCAAGAGAGAGCTGGAGAGGCACAGGGGACTCTGCACAACAGACCCTAAGCAGCCCTGAGGCAAAAGGTCGCGTGGGGGCTGTGTGCACACTCCAGAAGGGGCACGGGAAGCGTGTCCTTGTGCAATGCCCTTATAGTGCCCAGGAAGGTGTCAAGCTTCATCTCCTAAGAGAAAGGCAAGGGTAGGCATCCATGTCCCTTATGAAAGAGGAACGAAGCCTTACATTTCTCCTAAAGCAGAAAGGGAGAGAGAGGCTCAGAGACTCTGGTGCATCCAAAAGGCCTGCTTTGGCCTCTTTCTTTGTGCTCCAAGAACTGCCCACGACCCAAAGATAACCCCGCTCTGTCCACTGGCAATGAACTGCACAGTTGGCAGAGATGGGAAAAGTAGGGGGATGGAAAGAGTGGGAGGGACAGGAGGAAGGGGGAGAGAGAGAGAAGGTGGGAGACAGTGGGAGAGTGGGAGGGGAATGGGGGAGAGGGAGGGGGATTGTGGGCCCTGCAGGTGACAGCGACTCTAAGTGTGCTGAGAAACCTTTGCAGGGTTTCGTGCATGGAAGTTATGCAGGTTGAGATATAAAACGACCTTCTGTGTTTCTGCTGGGAGACACAGTAAGAAGGAAGGTGTGGGAGGAGGCCGGGTAGGAGGTTGTCTTAGAACCACAAAAGAGAGAGCTCAGAGTCAGGAAGTCAGGGCTGGGTCTGTGCAGAAGAGGAAGGAAATCTGGTTAATGCTAAACTGAGAATAGTGGACTGTGTCCTGAGTTGGGGCACCGGTCGGGTGTGGGCGTAAGCTGGGGAGAAGTACCAAACCATCAAAATGGAAACAGGGTGGACAAGCTGGCAAACAAATCCTCAAACATCTGTGTGTGCACAGCACCCCTTTCCAGAATAAACGGCGTATAGGAAGCTACCTTAACGCAATGGTACCTTCCAGTTACTCCATCAGACAGGCTATCCCAGAATTAACAAAGCAGAAAACCTCCCAAATTACAGAGTTTGAATTGTGGGGTTTATCGAATCAGTTTGAAACCCCTGATTTCAACCACCTGCAGCAAGAGTGACTTGCTGAGGTAGATGACACAGGTAGGACCCAGGCAAGGTGGAGGGCCACACTGCCTGGACCGGTTAGGCAGCCCTCGTCCTGCCCCTCACGGCCACACCAGTGGTGGGGTCAGAGGACCAGAGCTCTGTCAGAGAGAAAGACTCAGGACAACTTCACCTGGCCTCAATGATAGCTTGCCAACCAGGCTGCTAACAGACGTGGTGTTGAACTGCGTTTGGGAGGCAGAGCCTATGAGTGGGTGACCACTCAGGGATGACATCCTTCCAATCCACAGATGGAACGAACTTGACTTTTGCTGGCTACCCTCTCAATAAAGCTCTATGCTGTCCATTGTGCATGCCCATCCCTCATTTCCAATGTAGCTAAGAGAGTTCTAAACTCTCCCGAGTCCCCCAGCCTTTACCTAGTCAGCATCTGTATCTTTTGCTTAACATTTATGAGTCACATTCATCCTGCCTTTCTCGTCCTCTACAGCAGAACAGAGTAGGCTTTTTCAGTTTTGTTTTGTTTGTTGCTTTTTTCTAAGACAGGGTTTGACTATGTAACCCCGGCTGGCCTCGAACTCGGATCCTTCTGTCTCAGCCTCCTGAGTACGAGAGCTGGGATTACAGATGCGGGGCGTGTGGGATTACCCACACCCGATCTGGGTAGTCTTAAATGCAGCACAGTCACAATGCAAAAATGTTTTAAGTGAATCAAATGCATAGCACTAAAAGGAAACCAGTTACTTTAAAGCAGTGCTACATTAGTAACAAGGTCTAGAAGCAGCAGGTCTAGCAACTACCATAATTTCAAGTGGGGCTAATTTTGAGTTCTCCCAACAACTGTAAAGCGATAGAACATGGGTGATGACTATGGCGACATGGTCAGGTACTGCTCGTTCTCCTGGGATTTGCACTCATGCATCTAAAAGGCACCGTGAAGGAAAAGCTAGTTTCCGATGCTCATCTGTGCTGCAGATCCGAGCGCCCTCCCAGGGACGGTCCCAACCCTCCCCAGCCTTCCTGCCCCTCCCAGGCCCGCCGCGCTCTGCGGAGAGGACGCCAGTATAAAAGGGGGTGGGGTGGAATAAGTTGCAACTGCAAGAGGCCTTGCTGGGACAAAGACGTGGCACCAGCCCCTTCCCAGAGCTGCGTCCACCTGCGGCCCGCAGAGCCAGGCCGGAGCGCGCAGGCGCAGGAGCCTGGAACTCGAGGGGCAGGGGGTGCGCGCGCGCACCGGAAGCACCGCCCCGTGAGACGGCGAGTGAGCTCACTGCAGCTGCCCCCCCGCCCAGTAAGCAGAGGCCCCGCCTCTTGAGTAGGTGGCCCGCCCCTTGAGGTGCCGTCGAACCCCGAGAGCCGGAAGCCACGCCCCTTGAGCGAAAGGTCCCGCCTCTTGAGCCTGCGGCTGAGCTCCGAGAAGGGGAGAGCCCGCCCCCTGAGGCCTACAGGCCCGTCACTCAAGCCGCAGGCCCCGCCCCGTGCGCGCAGGCCCCGCCCCGTGCGCGCAGGCCCCGCCCCGTGCGCGCAGGCCCGGAGGCGTTCCCGTCGCCAGACATCCTCAATCTATCCTGAGCGGCCGCTGCTCTGCACGCCTGGCGCCTGCGGGGAACCGACGCGCGCGTGGGGCGGCGGGGCTGCGTGTGTCCCGGCCGCGGCGTCCCACTGTCGGAGCCGCAGCGACTGGAGCGAGAAGATGGCTGAGGCCTCGGAGAGGCTCTACCGAGTCGAGTATGCCAAGAGCGGGCGCGCCTCTTGCAAGAAATGCAGCGAGAGCATCCCCAAGGACTCGCTCCGCATGGCCATCATGGTGCAGGTGCGGCGGGGCCGGGAGGCCGGGTGGGCGCCGGGGTGGCTCTGGGGCCCGTCCCGCCGCCGCGTCCCCGCCAGGCCCGCCCGGCCGACCCTTCCGGGACATTGCGCTGACCCTGCAGGAAAAGCCCGGGAACGAGGGCTCGCCGCTGGCGGGGCCTCGGCTTTGTGGGCACAGCCGCCTCCCTCCGCCCCTGGGCTGGGGGTGGAGTGGGGTAGGGGGTGGGGTGTCCTTCAGACCTACTGACTGCGGCCTGCCTTGCCCGGGAGGATTGCTGGTCCTACGTGGTTGGTGGCGACTGGCGTGTGAGGTTGTTTTTTTAGCCTTAAGCCTATTTTGGGTTTTTCAACTCCCTCTCACACTAGGGGTTTTTTTTGTTTTGTTTTGTTTTAATTATGCAAAGTTATGCAAGGCAGTGCCATTTCTGTGCAGTGCGTTCGTTTTGGGCCCGATTTGTGGCTGCAAATAGCATTTCCCCAAACCTCCCAGGTTCACGGTTTTGCAGCTGTCTCGTTTGAGTAAGAGTGGCTGCAGGGGTTCTCAGCCCTGGGGTGTCTCGCTATGAGGTGGCGGGCTGAAGGCCTCTGCCTTCAGGACTTCACTTTGCTAATGTCCGCCTTTGTAACCGTGGTCCTCCTCACCGCCAGCATTGCTGTTACCCAAGCTCAGTGTTCACGGTCAAGGTATTTGATTTCTGTCCCTCCATGGTGACCGTTACAGGCTTACTGATCGACCTGGTTGCCCTCAGTGGCGTGGAGGAAGACCCAGGTGGGCTGCACTTCTGTTACCTCACTTCACAGCGTGCCTGGGACTGAGGCTGGCATCTTGATACCCTCTGGACCTGCCCAGTTCAGCACACAGGGCTTATCTGTTACTTGAGGAAGTAATGACTCTTTAGGGTCTTTTCCCATGTTGAGTTTCCTTTGTGAGCTTATGTGTTTTATTAAGTATTTTAGGATGTTACTCAGAGAAAGGGACAGCCACAGGCCTTGCCAGCTAGGGGGGAATGCAAGCAGAAAACCAGGGTCCACACTGCTGTTGGGAAGAGAGGGGGACCAGAGGTGCTCCTTGCAGGGACCTTAATGGCACAGTTTAGCCTTCCGGGTCCTCTTCAGGTTTACTTGGTAGGAAAAGAAACTATTATCCAAGTAAGGGTGGTTTTTCTGTTGAGTTTTAGTTCACAATTTAAAGTTGGTCCTACAGGGTGAGCGGGGTAGGCCAGAAGAAAGAATCCTTTCTTTTCTGTGTTTGAATTTAAGTCCTTATTTTACATTTGTATGAGAGGACTGTTAACAGTCCTTAGTACCTGGTACTTCAGATCCTGGGGGAGGGAAGCCTTGGAGGGAGTAACTGAGCCCTGGAGCGTTTTGACTGAGGGTGTGGACCAGTGCGGGGAGGGGTCTGAGCCCTCCAGGGCCTCTATAAGGTCCTTCCCTCTATCTGTGGTGGGAGCCATGGCCTGTTTTGTACAAGAAGGAAACAGCTCACAGCTGGGGACTGAGTGGGGTACGTGGTACTGGGATGGATAAGTAGGTGCTCAGTGTTTGGTAGGGCCACCATCAAAGATTTTGTACCTTGTCATGGCTACCAGGTGGAGTCTTCTTACCTTGGTCTGGTTTCTTCCCCCTGGATCATTCAGGTCCTCAGCTCTGCTTTGGCCAAGGTTCTTTCTCCTGGAGACCAGGGTCCTTCCTTGGCAAAACCAGGAAGAAATGGTGGACTATAAGAGAAGGCCGGGAGTCGGTGGCTCCTGCTTGTAATCGTAGTTACTTAGGAGGCAGAGATCAGAAGGATCGCTGTTTGAAGCCAGCTGCGGCAAATAGTTCTCAAGACCCTGTCTAGAAAAAGCCTTCACAAAAAAAGGACTGGCAACCCTTGAAGGCCCCAAGTTCAAACCCCAGTACTGCAAAAAAAAAACGGCAGAGCCAGGTCGAGCCACTGCAGGTGTTCCCATGACAGCCAGGTGTCAGGGATCTGCATGGGCTCCCCTGTGCCTTCAGGATGAGAGTTTGAGAACCAGATGGTGTCCTCTCATAAATGCTATTTGCGATCTGGCTTGGGGGGAGGCGCCATCTTTTCTACAGTGTGCCCTCACCCACCCCACTTTTCTTTCTTCCCTCCACACTTGGGCTTTCAGCAGGCACTCTGCCTGCCTTCCTGACAGGTTTTGCTAGCATCTCTGAGGGAGTATGGAACACGCATTGATCAGATAACTACCCAGATGTGCCTTCACTGAGGGAGGACACTTGGGGAAGTGCTGCACGGTCTGAGTTCTGAGAAGGATGGGCACCCAAGTCCTCAAAGTGCCCGGCATTTGGCCTTGCGTGTAGTCCATTGCACTGTTGTCACAGAGCTCAGGGGGCTAATGGGATGCCTTGTTTGTCACTGCTTTTCCAACTATTTCCCTTCACGACAGCTCTGTCCTAAAGGTTCAGCATGGCATTTATTTTTAATGCTGCTTTAATATTGTTTGTTACACCTTTTTTGTTCTTATCATACCTGCGTGACCTGCCCTGTGTAATTACATGTCTGAGGCCTCCCAAACTTTGGTGTGAGCATCTGTGAACCAGGAGTGCTTGTTCCCACCAGAGGCAGGTTGTGGGGCTACATGGCTTGCAAAGGACACCAGGGACTGAGCAGATGCCAGTTACCTCCCTCCTTCCGCTTGCCGTCACTATTGGCTCAGCCAGACAGTGTTGGGCTGGGTGCAGAGCTTGGCCCTGTCACAGGGAAAGACCGGGTTCGCTGAGTCAGTACAGCCTGAGTGTGCAGCATCACGGGAAAGAAAACACCTGGAGAGGGGACCCCCAGGTGTGGCACCCGGCCAAGCCCCTGCCTTGCAGAAGCTAATTCATTCCCCTCCTATCTGCGCAGTGCTGCAAGTTTCCTTTTTTATTCGTGACCCATTTTTTCTGCCTTGCTCAGTAACTGGGTCTTGTTTCCAAGGGGTCCTTGCTGAGCTGCCTGGCTCTCCCTGCAGGCGTAGGACGCCAAGCAGGTGTCTTGTGCAAGTCACAAACGTGAAGCAGCACACCCTGAAAGAGACTTGGGGCCCCGCTGACCCACCACTGTGGCCACCGTGGTTGATTCATGTCCCAATATACTGGGCTTGGCAATAGCCGGCCAATTCTTAGCTGTCAACAAAGAACTTGAGAAGAAAGTAGGCAGAGTGCGGTCTCATCCAGTCACAGAGAAGAAACCAGGGAGCTGCCCAGCTGAGGGCAGGGCGGCCAGCAGCTGAGTCAAGGCTAATGGCCTCTCATTCCCTGCTTTCCAGTCTCCCATGTTCGATGGAAAGGTCCCACACTGGCACCACTTCTCCTGCTTCTGGAAGGTGGGTCACTCCATCCGGCAGCCTGACGTTGAGGTGGATGGCTTCTCTGAGCTGCGGTGGGATGACCAGCAAAAGGTGAAGAGGACTGCGTTGGCCGGAGGCGTGGTTGGTGCGTATGGCCCAGGCCTGCCCTCTGTCCCTCATGGTCGCTGTTCACGAGCATCTCGCCTACCCATTGCCTATTGCCTTGCGCTTGGCCTCTGAGTTTTCCCTTCTCTAAATGTAGCTTTTAGATTTGTGTAAAGGCTTTTTTTTTTTTTTTTTCCTTTTCTCGAGTAGTTTTAGGTTCACAGCAAAATTGAGCAAAGTATGAAAGAAGAGTTACCACGTGCCTGCTGTTACACCTTAGCGGTCCACGTATTCATAGTCGGTAAACCTGTGTTGACACCTCGTTGCTGAGGGCTCCGTCTTGCTGTTGTATGACCTGTTGGCGTGGACAGTGTGTAATAAGTCCACACTGTGGGGCCATAGCACCATGTGGAGACTGACGCCTTCCAAAGGTGTGGGCTCCCTACCCACCAAGCCCTGGGAGCCACAGGGCTCCTACTGTCTCCATAGCACAGAGCGAAGCTGTGAGGTGCTTTGTTAGGAAGCACAGTCCTAGAGCTCAGCAGGGAAGCAAATTCAGTTGTCCCTTCGTGTCCACAATGTCCTCGGGGAATTGGCTTCAGCTACACACACCCCTTAGCTACAAAAGTGTAAGAGGGTGCTCTCTTACATCAAGTGTCACACTGATGTCTTGCCTGCACACATCCTCCACACATCTCCTTTTTTTCTCCCCAGGACTTTCTTACAATTGAATCCGGGCTGTGGGTGTGCTGGGCAGATGCTCTGTCACTGAGCTAAAAGTCCAGCTGTTTTATTCTGCCCGTGCAGCCTCAAGTGACACCTGTCAGGTGGGCTCGAACCACCAACCTTTCAGTATTCAGCCCTTTTAATTTAAAACAGGGTCTTACTTAGTTGTCTCTGCTGGACTCTAACTTGGCCAGTCTCCTGCCCCAGCCTTCAGAGTAGCAGGGATTACAGGCGTGCTGCCTGGTTCAACCACATACTTTTAACCATTCTAGATTGCTTATGATAGTTAATGCAGTGTAATGTTGTGTGAGAAGTTGTTACACCATGTCATTTGGGGGGTAATGAAAAGGGAAAAGTATATGTGGTTGGTGTGGACAGTCTCCTTCCCCGTCCCTCACAAAAAAAGTTTTTGACCCATGATCAAAAATTATCTACGTCCATAGATGTGAAACCCAGATGCAAACTGGTTAAAGAAACAGCCAGTACTACTACTGTGCAAGAGGCCTCCAGACAGGTCTCCTGCCACCGAGCTTCCAAGCAGCCCCAGGACGAGGAGGGAAAGGCACCATCCACTTACCCAGGCTTCATCGGCCCTCCCTCCCTCCCTCTTCACTCTGCCTGTGTGGGTCCAGAGCCTCCCTGGGTGTGGCAGAGCTAGCTGCTGGTCCCCTGCTGAGGCCTGGCCCTTACCCTGAGATAATGGCTATGCCAAGAGCAAGGCTGTAGCTCCAGTGCCCCCTGGACTCAGGACGTACACGATTACACTTCCTTCTTTAAATATTTGTTTAAATATTTAATCCACCTGGAGTTTGTCCTGGCAGTGCTCTGTGTGGCTCCAGTTTAATTTTTCCTGGTTACAGCCTGGTTTCCCCAGCTCCACTTACTGTCTAGTTCCCCCTCCCCTGCTGATTCCAGAGGAGCTCTTCTCAGCTCTTCCCTCTTCTCTACAAAATCTCTGTATCTGGGATCCTTTTACAAACTCTGTTCTATCCGTCTGTTTATTTTCTAAAACAGACTTCATCTTTTTTGTCTTTTACATTTGTGGAAAAGAATCTTTTCTCTACTTTTGCTCTTGCTTCTTTGTCAAAGATCAGTGGGCTCTGCTGTGTGGATCTACTTCTGGGCGCCGTTCAGTTCTGTTCATCTGTTTGTCCGTTACCCACCCTGACTATAACTTGCAGTGAGCTTTCCATCAGGCGTGCAGTCCTCCACGTTGGTCTTCAGTGTCGTGTGGGCTATCCTGGGCCTTTCCTCCATTCAGGTTTCTCAGTCACTTTGTTAAATTCCACAACTCCTGGCTGCCTTCAAACTTGAGGCTTTCATCAGCATTTGAAGGAGATCAAGTGAGACTGCGTTCTCATTTCTCTGCCCTGCTAACTGACCCAGTTGACCCAGTTCTGGTGAATCCAGTATTGATGGGAACTGGGCCGCCTCTCCCCAGGGAGTGTTCCTGTCTATGCTGAGGAACCCTAACAGTGTTGCTGTGTTTGAGTCCTGCTGAAAACAGTCCAGTAATGCTGCTTAGAATGATGGGGAGAAAGTTTGCCAGGAACAGTGAGCTGGAGAGAAAAGACAGTTTTGAAAGCCAAGGATGGAGCTGGGTGCCAGAGGCTCACACCTATAATCCTAGCTATTTGAGAAGATTGTGGTTCTAGGCCAGCCTGGGCAAATAAATAGTTCGTGAGACCCTGTCTCCAAAATAGCCAGAGCAAAATGGACTAGAGGCATCACTTGAGGGGTAGAGCACCTGCCTCAAAAGCATGAAGCCCTGAGTTCAAAAGTTTCAAACCCTGAAGTACTAACAAAACAAAAAAAACCTGAAAAACAGTATGGGTGTGTCTCAAATGGTAGAGCAAAGCAGGTTTTCATCCAAAGAGCCTAACTTACTATTTCAGACAATTTTTATTAGCGTTTTATAGTACCAGGGGTACATTGTGACATTTACAAAAGTGTTTACAAGTCTTAGGTAGATTTACCCCCTCCATCTTCCTCCTTTGTCCTCCTCCTCTCTTAGAACAGTTTGAACAGGTCTCATCGTTCCATTTTCATACATGAATCCGTACTGCTTCCACCATTTTCACTCACCCTTTCCTTATGCCCCGCCCTGGTATCAGCACCTGAACAGGTCTTGTTTTACCTTCCCATCCTTCATTTTTACAAAAAAAAAGACATTTCAATGGTTTCCTTGTGACATTTCTGTGTATTTATGTGTTATATCCTGAATTCGTTCATCCCTCCATCATTCTCCTTTCTACCTTAGTCCCCTTCTCATGGTTGTCTCACCAGGTTTGAGTGTCCCGTGTTCATTTTCTTACAGAAAGTACATCAGCCATGTTCACTTTTATTTAAATAATTTTAACTCCTCGCAGATTGAGTAATTCACTAACGTTGTGGGGTGTCTCCTGAGAAAATACTTAACTCATGTGCGAGAGAGAGATAATATTCAGCTCCCTTTTTGTGACAACGTACATAACAGTTTTTTCTTACTTATTTTTGAGAGAGGGTCCCACTAAATTGCCCAGGCAGGCCTCGAACTCAGGATCTTCCCACTTCACACTGCGTACTGGGGTTTCAGGTAGGCACCACTGCAGCCGGCTGAATTTCATTTTAAGCATTTTTAAGGTACAGTTAGTGGCATTGGTGCAGTCACATTGCTTTGCATCCATCGTGCCACCCATCTCCACGCTGAGCCTGTGCCCACCTCAAAGCATTCCCCATTCTCCCCTTCTTCCTGCACCTGGAAACCGCGTGCGTGCGTGTGTTCATTCCACACCTTGCCTCTAGGTGATGCCGCTATGGACACGATCTACAGGTAACCTGTCAGAGACCCAGAAGTAAATCAGTGGGTCGTGGTAATTCTGCTTAATTTTTGAGGGCCTGCTCACTGTCTTCCACCGCAGCTGTATGCTTTGCGTGCCTGCTAGCGCCATGCAGGGCCCCGCTTCTCTGCACCCTAGCCTACTTTTGTTTTGTTCGTTTGTGATGGTCTTGACGAGTGTGGAGGGGTATCTCATGGTGGTCTCAACTCAGTTTCCCTGGGCATGAGTGGTATTGCCCTCTGTCACTTTATAACTCGATACTTACTATCTTACTGGTAAAAGATGTTTTGTTTTGTTTGGCGGCACTGGAGTTTGAACTCAGGGCCTCATGCTTCCTAGGTAGGTGCTCTGCCACGTAAGCCACTCCGCCAGCCCTTTTCCATTCATTTTTATTTCACTCCTAGTGAGGCTGAACACCACCTCTGATGTCACGAACTCAGGTTGAAAGTACTCGGAAAAAGCTGTACCCTACTGAACATGGCAGGCCTTTTCCTTGTCCCTAAACAACACATTGCAGTCTGTATTTTAATGAACTCGTGATGAAATCATAGCACTAGAATCTGCTCACGTGCACGGGCTGTGCCATTCCACAAGAGGCTTGATGAAATGGAGCCAATGCTCTGCCATGACTTTTTCCAAATACTTTTTCTAGGTGTTTTGTTTTGTTTTGTTTTGTTTTGTTTTGTTTTGTTTTGTTTTGTTTTTGCAACTGTTGCACATTTTTCTTTTAGCTTAGTCTATGCAGGTTTTGGCACATTAAGGTTTCATTAATAGTCCTGTAGTCATATTTGCCTTCTTCTTTCCACTGTCTGTCTTTGGTGTTGAGTGTGGAATTTTGAAATCACTTTATGCACAGATATTAAGCACACAGCTCAGTGAGCTGTGACAAGCACACCCCTCTCTACCTATACCCTGTCAAGTTGTGGAACATTTCTGTCACCCCCAGGAAAGTTGTTTGTGCCATTCTTTCTCTGTCAGTCATCCTTCTTCCCCACCACAAAACCCCGTTCAGACAAACCTGAAATCCAAAGCCGTTCTGGCCCCATCCATTTGGGAGGAGGGATGCTAAGCCTGGACTTACCATGGGTCTAGTTTGTACTTTCTTTGTTTGTGGTGCTGGGGTTTGAACTCAGGGCCTACACCTTGAGCCACTCCACCAGCCCTTTTTTGTGAAGGGTTTTTTCAAGAGATAGGATTTCAAGAAGTATTTGATCCTCCTCATCTCTGCCTCCTGAGTAGCTGGGATTACAGGCATGAACCACAGTTATCTGGCTGTACTTGTCTTTATTCCTGAATTGTAAGAGTTCTTTGTTTTTTCTAGATGCAGGTCTTTGGCTAGATAGAAGTATTGTGTATGTGGTTTGCCTTTTGGTTTAATTTGAAGAGAAGTAGGTCTTTTTGTTTGTTTGTTTGTTTGTGGTACTAGGATTTGCGCTCAGGGCCTCACACTAGCTATCTCCCACTTGCGCCACGCCCCTGTCCATGCAGTTTTCAATTGTGGAGGAGTTCAACTTGTGACTGTTGACACTTTTCTCTCTCTCTCTCTCTCTCTCTCTCTCTCTCTCTCTCTCTCTCTCTCTCTCTCGCTTTCAGTACTGCACTTGCTATGCAGGCACTCTACCACTTAAGTCACACCCCAAGCCCTTTTTTGCCTTAATTATTTTTCAGGCAGGGTGTCCTGTGTTTGCCTTGGTCTGTGATCCTCCTACCTCCCCCTCCTGCATACCTGGGATTACAGGCATGTATATCACATGCAGCTTGCTTTTTGAGATAGGGTCTCACTAAGGGCTGGCCTCCAGCCCTAGTCCTCCCATCTGGCTAGGATTACAGGCATGGACCACCATGCCTGGCCCTTTTGCTTTGTTTTCTTAAGTTTTGTGGGGTTAGCTTTCATATTCAGATTTGTGAGCTATCTTGGATTAATTTTTGTGCAGGTGTGAGGAGAAGTTGTTGGGGTCTTTTCCATGTGGACAGCCACGTGTTCCAGGCCATTTGTTGGAAAGGTCCACATTCCTTGTTGGAATGCCTCAGCTTCTGTGTCAGAACCAACTGACTACAGGCTGAATGTCGGGATGGTTGGGGTCGGCCAGTGTGTCTACAGTGCCTCGGTGCTGTCACTGTGGCTGTCGTGGGTCAGGAGATCACACAGCTCAGTTTCTCCACCTCTGTTCTTGTAGCTACAGTTCCTGTGATTCCTCATAAAGTCTAGTAAGCCTGTCAGTTTCCTGCCCCAAAAAGTCTGCTGGGAGTCTAATTGGTATTGCGCTGAATGTGTGCATCGGATTTCAGACAGTTTACACCTTAACAAATCAACCCTCCCAAGCCAGGAGCCTGGTCTGTCTGTCCGCATGTCCGCTTACTCGGTCATCTTAACTGCAGCAGGCTTAGAGCTGGCAGCGTGGAGACCTCATATCTTTTTTTTTTTTTTTCCGGTACTAGGGTTTGAACTCAGGACCTTCACCTTGAGTCACTCCTCCGGCCCCTCTTTCTGTGTGTGTGTGTGTGTGTGTGTGTGTGTGTGTGTGTGAGAGAGAGAGATTTTTTTTGAGATAAGTTCTCACAAACTATTTGCCCATCTGGCCTCCACCCGCGATCCTCCTGATCTCTGTCTTCTGAGTAGCAAGAGTAAACTGCCCAGCTCTCCTGTAAATTTATATCTGAGTGGTTTATGTATTTAAATGTCTGCTTTAGCTCCTTTTTGCATTGTTTACTTCTAGCATACAGAAATGAACTCTGTGTGGTGGCCTTCTTTCCTGCAACTTGCTGAATTTACTTAGTAGACCTGGGGACTTTTTGTAGATCCCTAAGGACATCCACCATACAATCACATCATCTACAGCAGATGGCTTACTTGTGTTTTCTAGACTTACACCTCACTGTACTGGAACCTCCACTGCAGGTTGGGAAGACGTGGAGAGAAAGGAACTCTTGAATAGTTCCTCACCTGAGAAGACAAACACTCAGCCTTGAGGTTTACTTCTATATTGGAATCTCTAGGGCTGGCGGAGTGGCCCAAGTGGTAACACGCCTGCCTAGCAAATATGAAGACCTGAGTTCAAATCCCAGTACCGCCCAAAAAACAAAACAAAAAAAGAATCTAGCATTTGTCCCATATGCTTGGTCAGTTCTCCCAAAACCCCTTGCTGGGCGTTTAAACCTTTCCCCACTAACTTAAATAGTACTTCTACCACAGATTTAGTTCTTATATACTCGTGTTTGATCCATATCACGATATTCCCTTTAACCCAACATTTAGCTTTGATAGATAAGAACATAGTGAAAGTTAGAAGACTGAGTTAGAATTTAATGTGGAACTAGGTTTTATGGTAAACACTCCATGAGTTCTTCCCAAGGTGTGGGAAGGGACTCAGGAGGGAACAATAGTAGAAAGTCAGCTCAGGCAGCTAGCATGGGGCTGTTTCACAGAGCTTGTTCAAGAAAGCTGCTTTATTCCAGAAAAGCAGCTCTGTTAATTACCTACAGATGAAGTGACCCCGGTTCTAGCTGTCTAAGGCACAGGTGTCCAAGAGAAAGAATCCTGGGGTGGTAGAGAAAGGCTGGGCACTCAGGAGCTGCACTAAGAGGCTGTTGGGAAAAGCTTCCCCTATGTTTGATTCTCCAGGCAAAGGCCAGGATGGAATTGGTGGCAAGACCGAAAAGACACTGGGTGACTTTGCAGCAGAGTACGCCAAGTCCAACAGAAGCACATGCAAGGGGTGTCTGGAGAAGATAGAAAAGGTGAGGCTCGGGTAGCTGAACGTGCATATGGTTTCGCTGTGCAGCACTGATTGTCTCGGGAGAAAAGGAGAAACAGGCTTTAGGTTCTAGCTCAGCTAGGGTCCATCACCTTAAAGGTCCCACCCCCCTCCCAATAGCACCACAGACTGGGGACACATAGCAGACCTTTGAGGGATATTCAAGATCCAGAAAAAACAGCAGAAAAGGAAGTTGGGAAGATGAGCCACTGCTTATCTTCCTCACCTCCCTCCAACCACCATCAAAGGCAAGAGTGAGAATGAAGACCTTCCTGCCTTGAGGGACGCCGGAGCCGGGAGCCACGGGTTGGTCTGCAGGGGAATTTCGCAGCTGAGACCCCCAGGAACAGCAGGCCTGGCACTGGAAGGCTGGCAGGCCTGGGTTCATTATGTGGGTTTGCGACCACCCCCGAGCTGGCTTCCTAGGTGCGCGACCAGAGATTCCATCAGAGGGTGGAGGTGGGCACAGGAGTCCCTCTCAGAACACCTGTGCTGCGTTGGGGCCCAGCCGAAGCATTGCGCAGGGCCCCAGTTGTCCAGCACAGGACATCCAGTGCTGTCAAGCCTGTCCAGGTCAGCTTCCTCAGGGAAGCATTACCACTTTCTGGTCCAGGCAGGTGAGTGTGTAGCCAGCATTTGTAATTAACAGTATTTGAAAGGGGGTTCGGAGGCCTGAGGGAAACCCATAGTCCCTGGTGACACAAGGATCCAGACCTCCCAGGAGCCCTGGAGTTGCCCATTGGGCCTTGGCCTAGACCCGAGCTGTTGGCTGGCTGGGGCACAGTGACCCCCTGTTCATTCCCTGCTTCTAGTCATTTTCTTGATACCACATGTGGCTTTTCCTACAGGGCCAGATGCGCCTGTCCAAGAAGATGCTGGACCCAGAGAAGCCACAGCTGGGCATGATCGACCGCTGGTACCATCCAAACTGCTTTGTTAAGAACAGAGAAGAGCTGGGCTTCCGGCCTGAGTACACTGCCAGCCAGCTCAAGGGCTTCAGCCTCCTCACTGCGGAGGACAAAGAAGCCCTAAAGAAGCAGCTCCCTGGTGTCAAGAGTGAAGGGTGGGTGGGGCCTACAGGAGGCCTGAAGTCCCAATAGAGACTAACCGTCTTTCCCACCACTGACCCTCAAAAGGCTAAGAAGATACAGGCCAAAGGACAGTGGCAGCAGAGGACAGGGATGGGTTGCAGGGTCCCTTACAATGGCCAGAGCCTCTGCCATCAATGCTGCCTCCCCTGCTTCCGTCCCTTCCTGGCACCTTCTTGTTTGGGCTGGGGAGATCAGACTAGGCCCACTTTCTACACCATGTTCTAGATGTTTAAGGGCCAGCCTTTGCCACCACCTGAGTATTGCCCTTGCCACATGCCTGGGTCTGTGGGATCATGGTCACCACTTGCAAAGGGGGAAGGGCAGTAGGCAGTGAGTTCTTACATGGAGGTCAGAACAGTGAGAGCCTCAGGTGGCATTAACCATCTAGGTGGGGGACTGGCTATGCGTGTTTTGCATCCAGGGCCCCCTTCTCTGTCCCATTGGCTCTTTGCCAGCCCCCAAGCCCCAGCCTGGAAGAGCTTGTTAGTGCTCATGCCCAGCGCCATGGAGCTGGGCTGGTGTAGCACACTCCCCAGGGCAGCCAGTGGACCGTTGTCACCCGGCAGCCACTTTGCATCATTTCAGCTCATGGCACATAGGCTCCTGTAGCAGCACTTGTGGCTCTGGAATGTGTAACCAGAGGCCAAGCCTGTGGATGAGGAAGTGTCAAAGTGTTCCAGCACAGGGTACAAGGGTAGGAGTCGCCTGCCACATACACTCTGATGACCCGATGTGTGCTGTACATTTGGCATGCCAGGTGCTGTGATCAGGATGCACTTGGCGTGTTTGGTCTGGTTATCCCTCAGTCCTATGAGGTGGTTCCTAGGCTGGATGGAGAGTACTGCAAAGTCAAGCTAACCAGGTTTCAGTTATGGTTTGCACTTTAAATGTTAGCCCAGCCTGCTGGCTGAGTGGGGGCAGTCCTGTGTTCACATGCCGTGGGCTCAGTTCTGGGGTTCGTGTTTTGCCTGTCTGCAATTCCTGGCATTTTGTTTGTGCCAAGAGATGTAGAGTTTCAACATCAAATGCATGGGGCCTTAGTGCTGAATCCTGGCCTGGGGTTTTCCAAGGCCCTGTGTTGCCCTTGGGCCCCTCAGCTGGCACAGTGGGTTCTGGAGTGGATGGTGTCTCCTGCCTCCTTGGTTGCAGATGCTGGCTGAGTATACCGCAGCTCCCCAAGAGCAGGGAGAGGGGTTGACCCAGCTTGATGGAGCCAAATACATGTCCCCTGGGTCATTGGGTGTCAGACTTTTGATGGCTGTGGATCTTTTCTCATGTCTTGTGTCTCAGAAAGAGGAAAGGTGATGAAATAGATGGAACACATGAAGTGGCCAAGAAGTCTAAAAAAGAAAAGGACAAGGACGGCAAGCTTGAGAAGGCCCTCAAGGTGCGTCTGGCCTCACGTCCCCTCTATCGGTCTCAATTCTCAAACACATCTGGGAAGAAGCCCCAGGGATCTTTAGAAATACTCAGGTTGACAGCTGCTGGTGAGCTTTCCAACAGCTCGCCTGCCTTCTCCCAAAGAAAGGATTTGTGTTTGGAAGAGAACCTCATCGGGCTGTAGGTGCCAGGCCTGCAGCCAATCTCAGCCCAGTTAGGCATTGTACCTCCTGAGTGTTCAAAGGTGCCAGAGGTTCTCTGCGTAGACAGCTAAGTGGTTTCATGAGGTAAAGTTTTTTTGTTTTCTGGGTTTTTTTCATCTTTTAAATGAAAGTCTCATTTCTGAAATCCTAGCTACTCGAGATTACAGGTCAAGGCCAGCCAGAGCAAAAGTTGGCAAAACCACATCTCAACCAATAAAAAGCTGGGCATGGTGGTGTGTGCCTATCATCCCAGCTACTGGACAGCGTGTGTAGGAGAGGCGTGGCTTGGGTGGTAGAGTGCCGCCTAGCAAGCTTGAGGCCTGAGTTCAAACCCCAGCACTGCCAAAAATATCTTGTTAGACAAATGAAAGGCATGTGGTGAAAGGGAAGGAATTTTTGTTGTTGTCGTACTGGGCCCTGAACTCAGGGCCTTCACCTTGATCCATTCCACCAGCCCTTTTTTATGATGCGTTTTTTGAGATAGGGTCTCACAAACTGTTTGCCCAGGCTGGCTTCGAACCACGATCCTCCTGATCTCTGCCTCCTGGGTAGGTAGGATTACAGGTGTGAGCTACCAGTACCCGGCACAGAAAATTCTTCGTTAAATCTATGGTCATTGGGCAGAAGTTCATTGCTATGTTGAAGCACAGTAAAAATTATTAATCAGAAAATGCTAGAAAAGACTGTTTTGGGAACCCAGAACAGTCTGTCTCTTCTTGGGAGCATGAGCCATCTGCTTGGAATTTTCATGAATATTTAGACTTCGCTGGAGATAGAAGTGAGAAGCATTTCTGATCTGCTTGCTTAACTAAAAATCACAAGATCTGTGTGATCACTGAACAGTCAGAGGGGCCATGGTATGCCAGGACCGCAGTGCATTGGCCCTCAGTGGCCTTGGCGGTGTTCTTTCCTTGTTGGAGAGACAGAAAGAAAGGAAATTAGGTGCCCTCTGCTTCCCTGTTCTGTACCTCTGTTTCAGCCACTTCATTAAATCTTGGGTCACTAGACTCCTTCCTTGGGTCCCTTGTCTCCATTACTGTCCCCCCAGCATGTGCCTTGTAACAGGGAGCGATGACCAGGGTATAGCTACAGCTGTAGTCTTTGAGGTGACACCTGCTGCTGCCAGCGGCCATCTGGGTGTGATAGGCTGTGATCTCATGGCAGAGGTGGGGCTGGGGTTGAAAGGGCTGTCCTAGAGGGGAGGTTCATCCTGGCCTCCCTCCGCAAAGGGGTTATGGGGAATGAGAAGACGTGAAAGTGTCAGCAGAGCAGCACTTCACAGCCGTCAGGACTTAGGTTCCCTTTCCTGAAGGAATTTACACGATACCGAGTGGTTTACTGTGAGGCCAGTTGACTTTTGGGATGCACTCCTCCCTTGTGCAGGAAGGGTGAATGCGGGAATTGGTTTCTGGGAACTGATGCCAGGGCTTATGGGGCCTTGGCTTCAGCCAAGGTGCACAAGGCACCTTCAGTGCCTCCTCCCCCTTTCCAGACTATTGTTTGAGCACACAGTCCAGGTTTAATTTGATAGCCACAGAAATGTGCTGGGGGCAATCCTGACTGGTGTAGCCCACCTAACTCACAGATGTATAGGAGGAGGCTCAGTGAGACTGAAGCAACTCTTCTGCACTGAAATTTCTCTTTGAAAACCTCCTGTTAGCCATGCATGTTAGTGCACATGGCTATAATCCCTGCGCTCGGGAGGCTGAGGCAGGAGGATCATGAGTTCAAGGCCAGTCTGGGCTGCCTAGTGAGACCCTGTCTCAAAAAAAGCAACCAAAAAAAAAAAGAGCTAGCTTCTCAGCTGCTGGGTCCTGTCCACAGGCTCAGAACGACCTGATCTGGAACATCAAGGATGAGCTGAAGAAAGCATGCTCCACAAATGACCTGAAAGAACTCCTCATCTTCAACAAGCAGCAAGTACCATCCGGGGAGTCGGCGGTGAGCTGCCCTGTGTCACGAGACATCCCCCAGAGGGCCCTGGACACCAGCTGGTGGTAGAGGAGTCAATCCATAGTTGTGTCACACGCCCGTTGCCTTGGTCCCCGTCTTCTCAGGGCAGCTGGAACAAGTGCAGGCTCTTGTTCCTACCAGATGCTGCTGCGTGCTGACCTTTAGAGCTGTGGTGAGGTCTGAGGTGGGGCCTGTATTCGCCTAGTATGTTCATGCCACCCCTGAGGGGAGCTGCCTGTCATGGAACCCTCCACTTGGATGTACTGTCCCTGAAAGCAAGAACACGCTGTCCCATCATGACCCTGCTTACCTGGGCTGTCATGAAGCCCCAGGGCAAGCCTCTCCTTCCAGAGAGGGAGCTGTGTCTCCTGTCCCACCGAGGGCTGTCCTTTCCCAGACCCTTTGCTCTCTGATGTGTTTCTTCACTGGCTTCAGATCTTGGACCGAGTCGCTGATGGCATGGCATTTGGGGCCCTCCTTCCCTGCGAGGAGTGCTCTGGCCAGCTGGTCTTCAAGAGTGACGCTTATTACTGTACTGGGGATGTCACTGCCTGGACCAAGTGCGTGGTCAAGACACAGACACCCAGCCGAAAGGAATGGGTAACCCCAAAGGTAAGGGTCGAGGAGCATCCCGGGATCTGTTGGTGGGAAAACATGGCCCCATGTTCCTGGTCATAAGACCGTAGTTCACGTTCCTTACAGTGTTTGCAGCAGAGCCCCGTCTCCTAGCCAGAATGCAATGGTTTCTGCTTGTTCATTCACCACCATAGTTGCATTCTCCTCCCAGGCTTGTACTTTGACCTGAGTCAAAGCATGGTGCGCTCTAATGCGAACCGACCTCAGCGTGTCCCCACCTTCAAGATCTCCCCGTTTCTGGCAGGGTTATGAGGTAGGTCTGGTTTTAGTTTCTTGGGGAACCTCCATACTGAGTTCCACAGGGAGAGTTCCTTTCTCCCTGCATCCTTGCCAGCGCTGCTGTTAGTTTTCTCAATGCTTGCCATTCCGACTGGGGTGAGGTGCACCCCAGGCCAGTTTTCATTTGCATTTCCTTTATGGCTAAGGGTGCTGAGCATTTCTCTGTGTTTTGTTGGCCTTTTGCACTTCTGAGAACGACCTGTCCAGTTCATCTGCTCAGTTTTTGATTGGATTCTTTGTTCTTTTGCTGTTTAATTTTTTGAGCTCTTTATATTTTTATTCTGGATATTAATCCTTTATTTGATGAATAAGCAGGAAATATTTTCTCTCTTTCTGTGGCTTGTCTCTTGATTATGCTAATTGTTTCATTTGATGTGCAGATGCTTTTTTTTTTTTTTTTTTTAAGCAGTACTGGGGTTCAACTTAGGGGATTACGCTTGCTAGGCAGGCACTTAACCCTTGACCCTCACCTGCAGCCTGGAAGCTTTGTAACTATGCTCTTACAGCTGGCGTCCTATTCAGAAGATAACCGTCTACACCTGTATTCTCAAGTGTTTTCTGTAGTGGTTTCAAAGTTTCAGGTCTTATATTCAGATCTTTTGATCTGTTTTGAATTTATTTTTGTGCAGGGTGAGAGACAGGTCTGATTTCAGTCTTCTATATGTGGATATCCAGTTTTCCCAGCACCTTTTGTTGAAGAGGCTGTCTTTTCTCCAGTGTATGTTTTTGGCTCTTTTGTCAAAAATCAGATGGTTATAGCTGGTTTTATTTTGGGGTCTTCTATTGTGTTCCATTGCTCTTCGAGTCTGTTTTTGTACCAGTGCCATGCTGTTTTTGTCACTGGCTCTGTAGTGTAGTTTGAAGTCAGGACTGTGATACCTCCTGCATTGCTTTTTCCTCAGGATTGTTTTTGCTTTTCAGAGACTTTTGTGTTTCCATATGAATTTTTCTGTTTCTGTGAAGGACATTGGAATTTTGACGTGGATTGCATTGAATCTGTAGATGGCTTTCAGTAATACAGCCATTTTCACAGTTCTGCCAGTCCATGAACATGGGAGGTCTTTCCAGCTTCCGGTGTCTTCTTCAGTTTCCTTCTTCAAGGTTTTATAGTTGTTATGATAGAGGTTATTCACCTCCTTAATTGAGTTTGTTCATTCCTCCTTTTATCCCCCATCCTTTCTCATCATGAGATCTGTTTCTTGTGTGCAACAAATGGACTGGTCTTATCTTCCCTTTTAGTCTGGTCTGGCCATGCTTGCTGCCTGTCTGTGGATTGTGGGGTTGGTGACTGTTGCCCCAACTGCTTGTCTCTCTCCATGAGCTGTGCCCCCCCACCCTGTCCTCCCACACCACTCTTAGCCCCTGCACACACACCCTTCCTGCCCTGTTACTCATGTACACTTCCAGCAGCAGGAAAATTCATAGGGTCCCCCACAGGTAGTGTGTGTCACCAGACCTGCCTATGCTCCTCGGAGTCCAGTCTCTGCCTACGTGGGCTCCAGCATCTCTGCTCCTTCACATGCTTTCCCAGTCAGACTGACAGTTTGGGGGGCGAGCGGAGGGGCTGATTAGGTATTCCGTGTGTACTGGATGCTGTTGGTGCCTTCCCTGGCATTTGCAGAGCCTGGGTGCAGCTGGGAGGGCCACTTCTGATTGGATGAAGACCTGGGAGGGAAGGAGCTGTGCTTATTACCAGAGCCACATGGACTTGACGTCTGTTGAATGCCCAATTAGCACAAGGCCCACTATAAATCTCCTGATATGAGAAGTGAACCATGGGATTAAGACTTTGTAGTGAATACTGCAGGACTTTCTACATCCGTTTTCCCTTCTAAGAAGGGAAGGAACTCATCCTGACTTCCTTTTGGTAGTGTGTGCAGTCTTGGACTTTTAGCCTGGGCATGAGACCCAGAGAGGCCTGTTAGCTCTGGAGAGGGATGACTCAAGAAAGGGTTCTTGTTGGTTCCAGGGACCATTCCCTGAGTGAGTTATCGATACTTTCTTTTTCCCCCTAAAGGAAAAGGTTTTTCTCTTAAAGCAGCCACAATATCAATTCTGTCGTGGATAGAGAAGTGCTGGAAATAACTGTCTTGCATCTGGGAGCCACACATTTTCCTCTTTCGTGTCGTCTTTTTTACACATGGATAAAAATAGATTGTTTAGTTTGCATAGGCCTAGTTGCCTTTGGGCTAGTGGATGATTCGTTTCCAAAGAGCTGGCTTCTTAAAAACTAAACTTTGTGTTCTTTAGGAATTCCGAGAAATCTCTTACCTCAAGAAACTGAAGGTCAAAAAACAGGACCGGATTTTTCCCCCAGAGAGCAGCACCCCAGCACCTGTGGCACCCCCACCCTCTGCAGCCTTGGCCCCTGCTGCTGTGAACTCCTCAGCCCCAACAGGTATGGCTCAGGGAACCCCAAGTGCTAGTTTGCCCATACACGGGGTGTGCAGTGGGGAGAGGGTCTCCTGGGGTCTCTGCTCTACCCACAACAGCCTCTCTGGGTCTTACTCTCCTGTCCTTCCCCGTGGGTCACCCAGAGCCTATCCAGCTGTGGGATTTGTTGTGTGAACCAGTGGGAGTCTCTGGCCAGCCTCAGACCTGCCATAAGCCAACGCAGACCGGGCCATAACATGTGCTGTTCTGGCAGGAGGAGAGACGCCGCTGCCACCACCAACACACACACCACACACCACACACACACACACACCACACACACACACACACACACACACCACACACACATACACACACACATACACACACACACACACACACACCACACACACACACACCACACACCATACACACACACATACACACCACATACCACACACACACATACACACACACCACACACACACACATACACACCACATACCACACACACACACACCACACACACACATACACCACACACACACACACCACATACACACACAAACATACACCATACACACACATACACCACACCACACACACACACCACACACACTCTGTGTTCTCAGACACAATGTAGTCTGAAGGTAAAGCCACAGTTCGGAGAGTGGGGATGGGCTTCCATCTCTGCTGGAAACGGATGGTCACGCCAAGTCTGCTTGCTGCTTGCACTTCTGACCAAATCAGTGGCTTGTTCCCGGTGGAGACCTTGACCAGTGCTCAGTAATGCTCTGTCTGGGTCCCTGGTGTTCTTTCCCCACAGAGGATAGGCAGGGCCTGCCCAGTCAGTGCTGGAGTGCCAGCCTCCTGCTTTTTGCCTAGAACTACTTGGCACAGGCCTTGCAGGGACCCTGCATCTGCCGGGCTTTCCCAGGGGTTTGCTGCCTGGCTCTCCTGCTCTTGCTCCTTTCTGAGGGCAGTGGCAGTTGTCGTGTGATCTCTGTTCTTCATCCCAGATAAGCCCCTGACCCACATGAAGATCCTGACGCTGGGGAAACTCTCCCGGAGCAAGGAGGAGGTGAAGGCCACGATTGAGAGCCTTGGGGGCAAGGTGACAGGAACGGCTCGCAAGGCCTCCCTGTGCGTCAGCACTAAGAGTGAGTATGGAGCGAGTGTGCGGGATTGTGTTCTCATCTTACCGCTGCACTGAAGGTTCAGTGAGCAAGCATATGGCACAGACAGCACCGAAAGTTCTCATCCCCTGCTTGGGCCCTATGAAGGGGACCGGCGTGCTGCTGCCGTGTGTTCTCACATGGCCCGTATTCCCTGCAAAGGCCACAACTGCTCTTCACACCAGTCTCCCTGTTCCGTAGGTTCACTGCCAGGACAGAAGTTCACAGCTCACATAGGTTTGGAAGTGCAGAGATAAATAATTTTTTTGTAGGTTGTGTTGGGTTTTTTGCTGAGAATGGAGCCCAGAGCCCATGCCAGGCCTGTGCTGGTCAGAGCTGTGGGTCTCCAAGCCGGAGGACTGCACAGCATTGCCTGGATGTCCTTGGCTTCAGAGTCCACCTCTAGGGTGTGCCTGCTGGTGCTCCATTCTGTAGAAAGGTTTGGAGAAGCCGCCCTTGGCTCAGCCTGCCTGAGAAGGAGGGTGAAGAAAGCTGTGCTCCCAGACGTGAAAGATAGATGAGCTGTGGGTGGTGAGGAAGTCGTCAGGCGGTACATCTCTGTAGCACTGGGGTGTTCAGGACTAGATGTAACTTACCGTTCACAGTTTTGGTTTTGTTTGCTCCTTTCCCTTTTGAACAGAGGAGGTGGAAAAGATGAGTAAGAAGATGGAGGAAGTAAAAGAAGCCAACGTTCGTGTTGTGTCCGAGGATTTCCTCCAAGATGTCTCAGCCTCCACCAAGAGCCTCCAAGACTTGTTCTCAACACATATCTTGTCTCCCTGGGGAGCGGAGGTGAAGGCAGAGCCTGTCGAAGCAGTGGCCCCCAAGGGGAAGTCGGGGACCGCACTCCCTAAAAAGAGCAAGGGCCCCACCAAGGAGGAAGGTGAGACCCAGGAAGTACCTGTCCCAGGCAGTAGCCTGCTGGGGCCTCTCTCTCTGTGTCCCAGAAATGTCCGTCGTGGGCTACCCAGAGGCTTGCTCTCAACTTGGTTTCCAGTGGGCCCAGAACAGCAGCGAGCCCTCCAGGGTGGCAGGAAGCAGTGCAAGGGTGCTGGGTTGGCAGACGGTACCAGTGAGCCCTATCTGTCCATCCACCCTCTAATGTTCTAATGTTCACGACTCTCCCTGTCAAGGTCTGAACAAGTCTGAAAAGAGAATGAAGTTGACTCTTAAAGGAGGAGCAGCTGTGGATCCCGACTCTGGTGAGTGGGCAGAAAAGGCCCATGCGGCCCATGGCTGCCTGCAGGGAGCCAGCCCCCAGTCTCAAGAACAGGCTGGGACACCTCTGCCGAGAGCCCTAGCGCTCGTAGGTGAGAAGTAGGAACTTTACCTCCGTACAGGTCTGGAACACTCCGCACATGTCCTGGAGAAAGGTGGAAAGGTCTTCAGCGCCACACTCGGCCTCGTGGACATTGTGAAAGGCACCAACTCCTACTACAAGTTGCAGCTTCTGGAGGGTGACAAGGAGAGCAGGTGGGTCTGGCCCCAGCGTCCCACACCGTGGTGGGCCTGTCCTGTGGCTTAGTGCTTTCTGCCTGCCTCATAAAACCTAGGTGGCTGCAGGGTCAGAACCAGAGTGTGCAGAGGGAGGGCAGCTGTGATGCTTCCTGGGCACAATGGCACAAAGCTGTAATTCTAGCTGCTCAGGAGGCAGCGATAGGGAGGATCTCTGTTGGAGACCAGCCCTAGTCAAAAAGTTAGTGAGACCCACCCCCCATCTCAACAAAGTCAGGCATGGGGGTTCATGCCTACAATCCCAGCTACTCAGGAGGCACAAATAGGAAGATTGTAATCCAGGCTGCCCTGGGCATAAACACAAGACCTTATTTGAAAAATAAAGTGAAAAGGGCTGGGGTTGTGGCTTAAGAGGCAGTAACTAAGTTCAAACCCCAGTACTACAAAAAAAAAAAAGAAAGTTGAAGCTTTTCTGTTTTACACATCTTAAAATTCCCAGCGGCAAAGTCTGATGAGCACAGAACTTTCTCTTCGGTGTTGCTTCAGACTTCCCTAGCTGATAAGTGATGATGCTGGGTGTGAATGAAGTTCTCCCTCGTGGTGTGGGGCTTGCCTCCCTTGTATGAGGCCTGGGGTTCCATCCACAGCGCTGCTAAATAGGCGAACAAACAAGTGAGTGTGTGTCTGTGTTTCCTCCCTCACCCAGAGGCAGGGAGGCTCATCCCGGTCTCTGTCCTCGACCCACCCCACCCCGCAGGTTCTGGATCTTCCGGTCCTGGGGTCGCGTAGGTACAGTGATTGGCAGTAACAAACTAGAGCAGATGCCATCCAAGGAGGATGCCATCGAGCACTTCATGAAATTGTATGAGGAGAAGACGGGCAATGCCTGGCACTCCAAGAACTTCACAAAGTACCCCAAAAAGTTCTACCCCCTGGAGATTGACTACGGCCAGGTAACTCAGTGATCTTCCACTGTCTGCTCCTGGTGAAACACAGGGCGCCTTCTTTAAAATTCACCTGTCAGGTGGTGAGCGGTGCCAGCTGCTGAAGACCGGGTGAGGGTTTTCACATGGGTAGCTGCCATCCAGGGAGGTTACACCCACAGCACAGCTCAGCTCAGCTGTGAAGCATGTGTGTGCTCTCTATAGCTTGGTTCAGCCAGGCGACTGCAGGTTCAAAGCCCAGTGGGTTAGCTTCACTCCAGGTACCAAAAACCACATTAGTGCTAGGGACACTGAGGTGGACAGATGGCCCCTGTGCTCAGAGGGCTCAGGTATAAAGGAGAGAAGAGGCAAGGCAGTTGCAGTCCAGTGTGGTCTTAAGCAAGCCCAAGTTGTCCAGGAGGCAGGGGAGGAGTGGGAGGCTAAAGCAGGGGAAGAGGGAGGCCAGGCAAGGATGCACTTGAACGTGTCGAGCTGGCTGGTAGGAAATGGAACCAGGTACCAGGTTCTTAGGGACTGGAGAGAGGCTGTGTAAAGGAGGTCTGCCCCTGCAGAGGAGTAAGGAACTGCCAGAGGAAGACTGCCCGGCAGTCTCACGCCCTGTGGATTAAGGTGCAGCTGCATAGCAGGCCTAGGGTGAGCTGGTCATGCAGATGCTTGGGTGGGGTTACACAGGACCAGTGCTGCCCATAGGCAAAGCGCCCATCCCCGGCCACTGTCACCCACAGGTTTCTGATGAGCGCTTGGTTCCTCTTGCTGGTGGCATTCTATCCTATGTCCTGGTTACCTGTTCCTGACCCCTAAGTGCTGGTTGTTGATCTGGGTCTCTGATTTCCTTCCTGAAGGACGAAGAGGCAGTCAAGAAACTGACGGTGAACCCTGGCACCAAGTCCAAGCTCCCAAGGGCGGTGCAGGAGCTGGTGGGGATGATCTTTGACGTGGAGAGCATGAAGAAAGCCCTGGTGGAGTATGAGGTGGGAGCCGAGCCCCTCACACCTGTCCTGCTCCAACCACAAGTGCTGTAGCCCACAGTGCCTGAGCTTTTGCCAAGGGTCATGTGATTTGCTGTGAAGCATGTGTGTGCTGTAGAGAGGAGTCCTTGCATGTCTTTGCTGCCCTATGGAGGGAGGCCAGGGTCCTCTGGGACCCAAACAAATGGGCCAGCTGGAGTTGGCATCAGGCAGTGGCAGAAGTGCCCACTGCTCTGGGCACCCGTGGCATGCGCTCCATCCAGAAAACTCACAGCTGAGTCTGAGAATCCTTCGGGGCTGGGGTATGCCTCAGTGGTAGAGCATGTGCCTTGCATGGATAAGGCAGAAAAGAATGGGGGCAGGTGATTGTGCTCCTGTCAGGGTCAGAATGGCAGGGCCCCCATAGGCAGAAACCCAGTGTCACCCATGCATTCTGTACCTCACCCACCTTCTCCAGGGTGGAGGGGGTGTCTCATTCTCTCTGCTGTCTGCCTGCCTAGTGCAGCCTCTCCCTTCTCTCCCTACCTGGAAGTCGCAGCCTCCACTGTGGAGGCCCAGCAGCTACAGTGGACGGGTTCTTCCCTGGTGGCCCAGAGCCAAGGGCTAGAGTCACGTTAACCAAGCCATCCTACCTTCCTGTTAGTGTTCTGCTTCTTTCCACCTCCCCCTTCCTACATCCACTGGCCAGCAGCCTTTCCTCCTCAGTCCATAGACATGGGGCAAAGCTGTCATCTCCATAGCGGGAGCTGCACCTGGCAGGACGGCATCAGGCCATTCTGTTAGAGAAGAGTTCAGACTCTGGGTTTGGAGGCCGCCAGGCTCGTTCACACAGGAACAACTTGACGGATGTATGGGAGGATTGCTTGGAACACCTTGTCAGGGTGGTGTGCAGGAGGAGAAGGAGAGAAGGTGCCCTGCCTGTTGGCATGGTGAAATCTGAGGTCACGTCTCCCTCCTCTGCTCGGGTCTCTTCCTGATCCCTGGCCTCGCTGCCAGCCCTGTCCTGTGTGTGATGGGCTACTGTTGGTTTTACTCGGGTGAGGGGCTTGTTCAGCGGGAGGAAGGCTGGGGCTCCCAATGCTGGAACCGGCAGAAGGACAGCTATGTGAGTAGTGAGGGGCAGTGTTCACTGTCCCTGCACGGCTCTCCATGGGTGAGGTGGATGAAAGGCGGAATGACACAGGGACAGGGACCTAGCCCACCCTTCTGTGCAGTGCCAGGTTCTTTGCCAGGAGTTAGGGGCTGCATTAATTGAGCCCTGTCCTCGTTCTGAGCCTCAGGGCCACTGGGTCCTCCCATCTTTAACATAAGCACCTGTTGTGCACCTCAGGAAGCGTGCTCTCCCCCAGGCCTTCTCTTCTGGTCATGCTGCCCTCATGGAAGCAGTTTTTGAAGTTTTCAGAACTCTGTAAGTCTGTTGACAGCCCACACCATAGTCTCTGCTATTCTCCTCTACGTTGTTCCTGGCTCAAACTGGACTCTACCCTCTTCCTTAGACTTGGCTGCAGTGTTTAACGCTGGTCAGAAATCAGATCCAGCCCTAGACTGGGTTTCTAGTTCTGTGTGCAAGAAAGCAGCATGCCAGGGCTTGTGCTATTTCGCAGGAGTGTCGCCTGGCCTCTGGCAGCTGCCTAGTGCATGTTTTTCCTTCATCACCACATCAGTTCCATTTTAAAGTTCTTACTCCACTCCATCTGCTGGAAGCAAAGGTTAGTCTCTGCCTCTGGGAGCCCAGAGGATCTGTCGGGAGAAACACAGTGGTAAGTCTCAGTGCATGGTATGAGGTTCAGTGGCACACATGTGTCTCAACCTGGGTGCTGTTTGAGGAAGGTGGCCCCATTTGTAAAGCAAGGAACTTACTAGTATGTCTCCTTTCCATCACTGTGACAAAATACCTGAGGAATTCAGCTTATGAGAAGGAAAGGTTTATCTTGGCTCAGTTTCAGAGGTTTCGATCAGACCGTGATCAATTGGCTCTATCACTTTGGTTCCTGCAGTGACACCATATATCATGGTGGGAGTGCAGTGACAAGCCATTCACCAGGAAGCCAAAAACAGAAGGGAAGGGGGTCGTGCCACGCCCCAATGGCCTATCTTCCTCCCACTAGGCCCCAACTCCTGAAGATTCCACCACCTCCCAGTAGCATCTCAGACTGGGGGCCCATGAGTCTTCAGGGGCTATGGCAGGAACCGTGACTGAGCACAAACTCCTCCCTAGCTGACTAGTGCTCATGCCTCTCCACTCGGCTCCCAGCCTCTCCTAACGGTGGTCCCCAAGTAGTGGCAGTGACAAATGTATAGCCACTTGGGAAAGGGCATTGTCAGTTTCAGCATAAACACAAATTCAGATCTGTTACTTGGAAATTCTTGGTTCTTGCTTCCCTGCCATGGCTGTAGGTCTGGGCATGGCAGCTGAATGAAGGGCCACGACTGATGCCCGTGTCATCCTTTGGGTTTGCATGGGATTGTACTGTCCCTTCCTGTTTCGGTGCCGGGTGGAGGAACTGAGGTTGACTTATCCCACCGTGAGTGACGTGTGCAGGAATCTCCATCCACACCGATCCCAGCCCCCGCTTGTGGGTAAAGGGCGGCACCCTCTGCAGTCAGATCGCAGGGAAAGTCAGCAGCTTCTGGCTGCGTCTGTTGGGGGCCTAAGATTCCGCAAGAGGGCGGTGCCCGTCCAGCTCTCCTGTCTTAACACCACAGAATTCCTGGTTTTAAAAGCGACCCCTGTCTCCTTAGATCGACCTTCAGAAGATGCCCTTGGGAAAACTGAGCAAAAGGCAGATCCAGGCCGCATACTCCATCCTCGGCGAGGTGCAGCAGGTGAGCAGGGGCTCGGGGCCCGGGTATAATGGCCCATGCCTATAGTCCCAGCTCTTCTCAGAGCTAGGAGGATCACAGTCCAAAATGGGTCCAAGCAAATCACGAGACCCTATATCGAAAAGCCAAAAGCCAAAGGACTGCGGTACGGCTTGGCTTGCCAAACCCTGAGTTCAAACAATACCAAGCAAAAAAGGTTAGGCTGAGCCCGTGTCGTGGTGTAGCCTGTGACCCCACAGTCAGAGACTGAGGCAGGTGGATTGTGAGCCTGGGCCATACAGCAAACGACCGTAAGAGGAAGAGTTTAGTTTTCAGTTGCCAGGAAATGTCGAATAGAAGGCTGCTTCTCACTCCCATTCGTGTTCACTCCCGTGTTGAGTGTAGAACAAGTGCTCTGATGCAGGGCCTCGAAACTGCGTCCTCAAGGGCCTGTATTGGGGGTAGTGTGCAGACCGCCCATGAGAGAGAGCACTGGGAAGTGGACTCCTGGCTCCTGCAGCAGATGTGGCCTGAATTAGCTATAAGCCCAGTTAGGGCCAATTCTGAACAGTGTTCCTGTTCTTGTTTCCTGTGACTGGTGTGGCACAGGCTCTCCTGCACCAGAATCCGGGGTGAGCTGGAAAAGCATCCTCCCCTCTGCTGAGCCAGCTGGGCAGGTCCAGCCACACCACAGTGGTGTGGTTAGGGTTAGGTCACCCTCTGACGATCCTGCGGTCACCTAGGCCATCTGCCAATTTAGTGGTGCAGGTTCATCTCTTCTGCATTTTGGGCACCCTCTGCATGCAAGCACTAAGTGGTGCTGAGGCAGCAGGGGCTGCATAACCTTCCTGTGCCTGGCCACTCGATAACAACAAACCCCCACCTTGAAGGGGAGACAATGGATAAAGAACTGGATTTCATAGCAGCAAGCACTCCCCTGCACCCCAACATCACGAACAACCTTCATACTCAAATAGCAATGGCAGTGGCCAGTGAGTCCGCCACCTGCAGTTGTCACTTCACATGGTTCTCTGTGCTGTGAGGGACTGGTGTCTAAAGCCCTGTGCAGTGCCCTCAGTGGGGAGTGGCTGTCCTCATTGCTCCTGTGTGTCCTGCCTGGCTTTTGCCTTGGGCGCCAGGGTCCTATGCACCTCTGTTCCTCCCCCTTCCAGGCAGTGTCCCAGGGCAGCAACAACTCCCAGATCCTGGATCTCTCAAACCGCTTCTACACCCTGATCCCCCACGACTTTGGGATGAAGAAGCCACCGCTCCTGAACAACACCGACAGCGTCCAGGTAGTACGGGTTCTGAGGGAGTTTGGGGCTGGGGCAGGGCTTGGCCAGACTCCCTGGGAATGTCCCTCATCCTCATGGTCATTGTGTTGGAGTGAAGTTTCTGCCCGGCCTGATGGGCACAGATCCATGGAGCAGGACTGATTGTTTTTCCTACCCAAGTCAACCAGTGAAAGGGGAGCTCTTTGTCCAGCTCCCAGAGGGGCCACTAGAGTTCCTGGCTGAGGCACACCTTGTTGCATCCTTGGTATGGGTCCCTGCTGTCCTCGGTGTAAGCAGATTGGAGAGAAGGTTTTCACATGCACCTCTCGCCCCCCGCCTGGGACAGCAAGGCCACATTATTTTCTAAGGACTGCCTGTGAGTGTCCACTGTGCTGGTTCCTCACTGGGGCGCCGTCTGCAGGCAGCACTCTGCCAGGGATGGTGAGTCTGTCTTCCTCACCTTGGTACTTCATGCCAAGTCTTGATTTTGTCCCTCAGGCCAAGGTGGAGATGCTGGACAACCTCCTGGACATTGAGGTGGCCTATAGTCTGCTCAGGGGTGGGTCAGACGACAGCAGCAAGGACCCCATCGATGTCAACTATGAGAAGCTAAGGACAGACATTAAGGTGAGCACTAGCCCTTCCCCATTGTCCTTACGGCTCATCCTGAGAGCCAGTCCCCAATCCTGTCCTCTCTCTTCTCTCCCCCTCCCTCCCTTCCTCTCTCCTCTCGCTCACATGTGCACACAGCTGTAATGAAAAGTGTGGGGTGGTTTTCTCTGGCTCAGGAACCTCCATGTTTGTTGGTGCACACATAGTCCTTGCACATGGGTGTGGACGCTCTGGCAGAATCACCTGCCTCAGCCAACCAGCGCCTCATGTTCCCCACTTCTGCTTGGTATGGGGGTCTGTGAGTGTCAACCTGGACACAGCACCACCTGTCACTGTTTTTGCTAGGGTTCTGATGGGAAAGGTAAGGGATGTTGTTTTCTATTCACAATTCTGAAGCTTTGAATCGTGAGGAGGACCAGAATTCCTACATTTTCCAGACTTTGAGTAACAATATGAAAATGTAGGCAGGCGTAACGGCCTCCTCTGTGGTACACTCGGTTGTTTAGTGTGGATCACTAACATCACATCAGTGGACGTGTGCACCGAGCCAGCCTCAATACACGTGGCCCTGGGGATTCAGAGAGACCGAGTGAGAGCTGGGGTACTGCCCTGCAGTGGAGTGCCAGCCCCAAAGTCACAAGGCCCTGGGTGCATCTCCTCACAGCCCTGCACCTGATGGCGTCCTTTCTGCTTTTGTCCTGTGCCATCTGTGCCCATCATGCTTCACCACAGTGACCTGCCCAGGAGCCACTTCCTTGTTCTGGGTCGCTGACCGTGTGCCTCACTCACGCGTCCAGCTTTTCTGACACTCCAGAGCAGGAAGGAACCCTGAGGTCCTCTAGCAGTCCAAAGAGCTGAGGGCAGAGGCCTAGGCAGGCAGCAGGTAGCGCTGTGGGCCCAGGGTCTGCCAGGTGGGTGGCCTGGAGTGCCATGGCCTTGCCTGGGCGTCCGCTGGTCTTGTGTGGTTATTCTTCCTGCTTCCATGCAGCTCTCCTGGGTTTTCCTCGCTCTAATCCAAGGCGCCTGTCTTCTAGGTGGTTGACAAAGATTCTGAAGAAGCTGAGATCATCAGGAAGTACGTGAAGAACACGCACGCAACCACTCACAACGCCTATGACTTGGAAGTGCTGGATGTAAGAGCTTTCTCTCCTGCCCCGTCTCTTGTCCTCCTCACTGCTCCAGCCCTGGTGGGAAGAGGGGCGGCCCACTGTGTTTGACGTAGCTGATGAAGTGACTCACTTGGTGTGCAGGAAAGTTAGTAGTCCTGCATGTGGAGTGACTTATTCATTCAGTTTTTAAAAGTACATTTCCCATTGCAGACCCGGCTTTATAATCAGAAAATATGGCTGGCTATCAGAGGTTCGTGATAAAATTCCTCAAGCCAGGAGTGAGTGGTGCACATCTGTTTATAACAGTTTCTCTGTGCCGGAAGGGGCTCGGGTTCATGGGAGCCTGCCTGAAACCTCTCCCACTCTGCCCAGGGGGTTCATAGCTCTAGAGGCAGGTAGTCCAAACCCATGGCCCGTGTGTCCAGCCAGGCCTTTCTGTAAACCAGAATAACAGCTGCTGCTGTCCCTCTCTTGCTGCCCACCTATCCAGATCTTCAGGATCGAGCGGGAAGGGGAGAGCCAGCGCTACAAGCCCTTCCGGCAGCTCCACAACCGCAGGCTGCTGTGGCACGGGTCCAGGACCACCAACTTCGCTGGGATCCTTTCCCAGGGTCTGCGGATAGCGCCGCCTGAAGCGCCTGTGGTAGGTGGCGTGAGGAGGGATGGGCATCTCCTGTCTCTGCAGGAGTCTCCAGAAGAAGCTCGTAGTACTTAGAGGTCACAGATGCCGGGAACAGGGGTCTTGGTAACAGTGAGGTGTTGTGGCCCAGCTGTGGCTGCCCAGCACACTTTGAGTGTCTGTTGTCCAGCGCCACAGCTGAACATCTGTCCTGCAGACCCCAGCCCTGTCACAGAGTTCCTGAAACAATGGAAGCATCCATGCCAGGGGTGCGTGAATGCTAACTCAGGATGCTGACAAGCAAAAGCACAGACGTCAGCTGCAGGCAGACCAGCCTGAGTCTAGACCTGCCTCTACCTTCCCAGCCAGCATCCTGCATGAACTCGGTCTTAAAAATGCAAAATGTAGAACAGCCGGGCAAATCATCACCAGACCCAGGGGTTGGCCGCCCACCTCACTTTCCAGTTGGAGAGCGAGGTGTGAAGGGCTGTGTGGGGCTGCGGGATGGCCTCGGCCCCCAGGACCCTGCGCTGCACTCTTAGAAATTATGGTGCTGTGTCTGGCACCATCCAGAGAGGTTAAGTAACTTCTGCAGCACCAGAGACCAGCAGCCTAGGTGAGCCATGAGCTCACCCTGTTGGAAGTGATGGATGGCAGCACTTGACTCGGGTTGGCACTCAGGGAAGAACTCACCTGACCACCCACTAGAAGGTGTTCAGCTGTCCCTTTTCCAATCCTCCAGACAGGCTACATGTTTGGGAAAGGAATCTACTTCGCCGACATGGTCTCCAAGAGTGCCAACTACTGCCACACGTCACAAGGAGATCCGATCGGCCTGGTCCTACTGGGAGAGGTCGCCCTTGGAAACATGTGAGTGAGCGAGCCCGGTCAGGGGGCAGTGAGGGGGACTGGACCTTGAGCATGAAAATCCCACACATCCCATCCCCATCGTTAGGACTCTGCCCCTGAGGAACAGAAACCGTCTCAAGTGAGGGGACAAAGGGAGCTACAGGCGCCTCAGAAAACACAAGGCCAGGACACGGCCAAGGGTGGAACCGTACAAAAGATGGTCACCCACAATGCCCCCGCCCCTCACCAATGTCTGGAGTTTCCGAGACTGCCCTAGGCAGAACCAGACTCAGTCTCAGGTCCACAGTCTCCACAGGGAGGCCTGGTCAGCCCAGCATGGTTCAGGCGTCCACTCTGATCTTGGCCATAGCCACAAGAGCCGGGTTGTATCCCAGGCCAGAAGTCCAGGAGTCAGACTGAACAGAAACCTGCAGAGCAGCTAGCCACAGCTCTGACAGTGCCCGGGGCAGTGGCCTGGGGCCCAGTGTCTGTTGAGGACGGGCAGGGCTCTGGGGTCACCAAGGAGCTCATAGTGCTGGAAGATGTGTTGGCTGCTCTGAGACTATCCTCTCCTGACCAGGTACGAACTGAAGCACGCTTCGCACATCAGCAAACTGCCCAAGGGCAAGCACAGTGTCAAAGGTACTGGGCCACACCTCCCTCCCGCCCTGCTCACCAGTCACCCGGGAGCTTTGTGCTGGGACTGCAGCTAGCACATAAATGCCACAGCTAAGTCTGGTGGGCACCAAGCATTTGGTGGCTTTGGACTTTCATCTGACTGGGCTGCAGCAGGCAGGGGGCCTCTGGTGACACCTTGGATTCAGGGCTGTGTTGGGTGAGTGCCATGGGATTCTGTTCAGCAGTGTGGCCCCACACGGCTGGGGCAGCTGTCGCTCTTCTCAGAAAGAACCACATAGGATTTGACACCTGGGGACCTTGCTTTATAGCCATCCAGGTTTCCCTCTGAAGGAGTTAGTGTTTGAAATGAGACACCTACCCAGCATAAAGTTGACATCATCGCCCCAGGACATTCTCACATCCATTGCCCTTCTGCCTTGCAGGTTTGGGCAAGACAACCCCTGACCCTTCGGCCAGCATTACCCTGGACGGAGTGGAGGTTCCTCTGGGCACTGGGATCTCGTCGGGCGTTAACGACACCTGCCTGCTCTATAATGAGTATCCTTTCATGGTCATGCCATGGGAGCTGGCTGGGGACCGGTCTGCACTGGGAGCCATGGTGACCGTTTCCCTGGATGGTCTGGCTCCCCAGCTGTATGGGGGAAATGTTAGTGAATGTGACCTGTGTCGGTCCTGAGCTGTGGCTGTGTCCTGCGATGACCAGGGGGTGGGGGTGGTTACACAGACCGAGGGCCAGCCCCCTGCATGTGCCTGAGGGGCACAGGTGACTCGAATCCAGCCCTCCCTGGGGAGGGAGGACTGCACCGTTGGCTCCTTGACCCACCCTCTCAGGTACATCGTCTATGACATTGCTCAGGTGAACCTGAAGTATCTGCTGAAACTGAAGTTCAATTTCAAGACGTCTCTGTGGTGAAGGGTGAGGCCGCCTTGGCCAAAGCCTAGCCGCTGGTACAGATTTGAGGCGCTCCTGCACCAACACGCCGGCCAGACCTTAACCAGGCTGTCTGTGAGTGTGGCAGCCGCTCCCCTTCCACAGAACAGGTTTAGTAGAAGCAGGTTAAAGGGTTTTCCCAAGTCCTTGTTTTTGTGTTGCATTTGGGGTGGGAGGGCTGTCCGGGGTCCTCTCCTGCCAGGCTCAGCCCTGATAGATAGAGCTGACAGTAGAGGGAAAGTTGGGGGGGACTCTCGTCTTGTTTGCGTAGACTAGCCCTGTGGGAAAAACCAAGCCACGCTACACACCTGCCTTGCTGGTTTCCACAGGGAAGGAAAAATGTGCCTCCTTCCCTTTTTTCTAAGTGTTCACCTTTAGTTTTGATTTTGGCAAAATGTTAAGCATTTATTTTGAGCTAAAACCAATAAAAACTAATTTCATACTATGTAGCTTTTCCTTTTCATCTTGCACCTCCCCCCCCCGCCCCCACCACACACACACACCTTAGTTCAGGGGCTCTTACGTTGCTTTGGTTTTGGTGACGGATGAGGGGACACCAGGAGGACCGCTAATTTCTCTTAGAAACAGAACATCCTTTCTAGAAACACTTGAACGTGGAGTAGTGTGGGAAATTAAAGTGCCGTTTGGAATTCCTGACTTGCCTGTGAGCAATTTTGTCTTCCCAATTAAAACCATCTCTGGTTGCCAGTACAGCTGCCTAAGGGCTGATCGTCCTCAATTAAAATGCAGATGGCTTCTGTACTCCTGTGTCGTGTGTCGCGTCTGCTTCTGATTGCCATACAGCTCATCTTCACAGTGACAGGGCTGCAGAGATGTGTTGTCTCTGCATCCCACAATGCCCTGCACACGGGGCACTGCCCAGCGGGAATGTCCCCTCTGAGTGGCAGGACACCAAATGACGAGCGTGGGAAGTTGTCTCCCTAGCTCATTGGGTACATGTGGTCATGGAACTAACTGTCCTACGAAAGACTGCTTTCGTACACCACATTGCCTCGTGCGACTACCTGAGAGCAATGCCTAGACGCTTACGCTGAAGTTCCCTGAAAGCCAGGGCCGTGTCTGTGACTTCTGACCTTTCACAGGAGGGGAATGGGAAGTGTCCACCAGAAGATGGAGTCACAGGCCAGGGAGAGCAGCCACCCAGGGTGGCTCAGGGCCTGGACTCTAGAACCCTTCCCCAAGAGCAGTCCCTTCTCCAGTCCAGAAACTGGTGTTTTGGTGAGGGAAACAAAGGACAGAATTCACTGAAGACAGGAAAGGGGAGTTGAGCTGCGAGTGATTACTGCCCAGGTGTTCCTGGCAGGACTGACTGCACAGGCAGACTTAAATGTCATGCGAACCACAGCTGAGCTGGGCTTCAAAGGAGAAGAGGGCTGGTCATTTGATGGCAGGCACACTCTCACCTGAAATCCTTAGTGCCCTTGAGCTGAGACGTGCAGATCACCCAGCCATCAGTGAAGCTAATGCTTCCTGGATCACTTCACCCTTTTTTTTTTTGGTAGGATTTGAATTCAGGGCTTCTTGCTTAGGCCCTACCTCCAGTCCATTTTGCTCCATTTTTTTGGTTTGGTTTTGTTTTTAAGATGGGGGTCTATTTCTGGGCTGGCATCAAACTGCAATCCCAATCTCAGCCTCCCAAGTAGCTAGGATTGCAGGTGTGAGCCACCAGTGCCCAGCTTCGCCTTTGAGCAGCACAGAGGGCAGATGTCACCTCACAGTCCTTAGGACACGTTAGCTGGAGTGGCTGCATGCTGGGCTCCCTGGAAAGAGGTTATGTTGCAACATTCACGTGCTACTCTTTGAAGAAATTCAAGTCCTACCTGAGTAGCAGCCGATTCACAATTTTTAAAAAGGTATAAATTTAAAACATAAATCAGGGCTGGGGCTACGCCTCAGAGGTAGAGCCCTTGTCTAGCTTGCACAAGGACATGGGTTCCATCCCCAGGGCCAAATTGAATTCCAGCCCGGCACAGAACCTGAAAGTGCCCCGGGACCTGGGAGGTTCAGCTGCCTGCCTCCTGTGAACGCATCCTGCACTCCCACCCCGCCGTGTGCACCAGCGGTTCTCGTGTGTGGCTCTGGCCACACTTGTGGTGTTGCCCTCCTCGAGAAAAGAAAACCACTCCTTCAACAAACCCCCCAGAGCACCCTAAGCCGTGCAGAGTGATCACCTGGAACCCACCTGTGCTTCCAGGGGTGAACCAGGCCAGGTGGGAGCCAGCCTGGTCCCTGTGCGCATGTGATCCGCCCTCAGCCGGTTTCTGCTCACTGGAGCGGCTCACGGCAAGACGGGTTTTATCTGGGGATGGGGATAAGCAAGGTAAGGGGTGAATGTGGTCAAGGTACATCACACGTGGTACAGAACTGTCACAGTGGAACTCGTTACTTTCTTGTTATTTTTTCCTGAGGGTGCCATGCTAATCTGTATCGTTCCAATTTTGGCGCGCGTGCTGCCGAAGCGAGCACAGAAGCCCATTACTTGCAGCAACGACCACTAAGAAAAACTCCCTGAAGCAGATTACTGGGCTGGGAGTGTGACTCGCTGATAGAGCACTTGCCCGCCACGTGCAGGGCCCGGGGTTCCTTGCCCAGGACTTCAGGATGCTGCACATCCAGCTGCTGAGGCTCCTCATTCCCCTAAGTGGTATCATTTGCTGTCCCCTAAACTCAGTGGCAAACTCCCCGAAAATTGTTCCATTGCTTTTTTTGTGGTGGTGGTGGTGGTGGTGGCACTGGTTTGAACTCAGGGCCTCACACTTAACGAGGCAGGTGCTTTACCACTTGAGCCGCTCCCCAGCCCTTTCTTGCTTTAGTGTTTTTCAGATAGGGTCTTGGGTTCTCTTGCGGATGGCTGACCTTGGACCACAGTCCTACCTACAGCTTTCTGCAGAGCTGGAATCACAGGTGCACACACCACACCTGGCTTACTGGTTGAGATGCGGTCTTGTGAACTTTTTGCCTGGGCTGGTGTCAAATCAGGATCCTCCCGTTCTCTGCCTCCCTTGTAGCTGGGAACAGGCGTGAACCACCGCATCTGGCCAGCGTGGCCCTTTGGAGACACTGTTTTCACTGTTCTCCTGGCAGGGCCGTTCCAAGTCCCACTCAGGGCTGCTGGGGCTTAATGTGGTCCCTCCTTTTACCCTCCGGTCTCCATGGGGAAGGCAAGGCCAGCTCCCTTTTGTATGGCAGGAGGTCAGTGATGGGTCCTCATTGCTTCTCTACTGGCCTGCAGTGGGTGGCCTAGGTCATTTTTGGAGACTTGTTACAAAATGCAAGAAAAATACGGCCTGTAAGTGCTCTGGTGAAGTGGTCCTCTGTAGAGAAGCTGCTCGCCACTGGCCCCACGGACCCCGGGGGTTTGTTCTGTGATGCAGGTGGGCCTGGTGTGCTTGGCCACCATGTGGCTTCTGGTCGGGGCGAGTGCAGCGGGCTGTGTCTGGGAACTAACTGAAAGGTGGTGGCTCACCAGGGTGCTGGTTGTGCCACCACACCCTGGAGGGATGGCCTCGGGCCTTACAGGGTATCGTAGAGCATGAGGTCAGCGTCGGCTGCTGTTCCCACAGCTGCAGTGCATGGGTCTGGGGGCCCGGGGTGCAGTGGGGGAGGGGGAGGTCTGCTCACTGTTGCCATCTGGGTCCCAAGACAGAAATGATTCTCCAGGGGGACCTGACGGTTCACTGAATTGGTAGATGAGGCTGTCACCCTGCTGTGAGGGTCCCTATGGCCTTTTTTATGTTGGGTATTTTTGAGATAGGGTCTCATGAACTATTTTCCGGGGCTGGCTTTGAACCTCGATCTTCCTGATCTCTGCCTCCTGAGTAGCCAGGATCACAGGCGTGAGGTACTGGCGCCCAGCTGGCTCAGTGGATTCTGGAGAGGGATGCTTGTTCCTCTCCAGAGCTGGGGAAGTAGGGGTTATGGTCGACTGGAGAGAGCCCTTGGGTTCCGGCTCCAACCTGTGTGGCACCTTGCCCCGAGCTTCCGCCGCATGGGCTGTACGTGAGGAAAACCTCCCTCCAGGCAGCGCGGTCCTGAGCTCCAAGGCTCCTGACCAGTGAGACACTGGGGAGCTGTCGGCCATCATTGCTGGAATCTCAGACAGCTGTCCTTGGGGTCTAGATGCAAACAGGAAGCTGGTGAGGAAGGGCAACCTAGAGGACGGGATACAGAACCTCCAGTGACCTCCACGAGGACCCGTCTTCCCTCCATGTGGCCTCCTCCTGCCTGGCTTTCCACATCCCCCTGGACCAGAAGCACCCCCCCTACAGCCAGCCTCACTTCCAGGAGGCTGCTGGGGCTCAGAATAGCCCAGCTGCTGACTCAGCCGGTGGCCAGGCTAATTTTAGCCACCCAGGGACCAGGCTGGGCATTTTAGATTCAAATGAGCCAGTGTGCAAGCTACTGTGGTTTACAGCCAATAACAAAGCTTCACGTTGTGATCTGTTGTCTGCCTAGTACTTCATAGGAATTCCAGAAATATAATCTTGAAGAATTTTGTTTCCCTTGTGGACGAGAGGAGGCAGACAGCTGAGAGGCTGGGTGTGGGCGGAGAGTGGCAAGAAGCAGACATGGATGTCAGTGTTCCTCCATGTCCTGATAAGCCAGACGCCAGTCATCCTGACTGAAACCGACCACATGCTAGCAAGAGGCTCACGCCTGTAATCCCAGCCACTCAGGAGGCAGAGATCAGGAGGATTGTGGTTTGAAGGCAGCCCGGGCAAACAGTTTGCAAGACCCTCTCTCAAAAAAAAATCCCTTCAAAAAAAGGGCTGGCAGAGTGGCTCAACTGAGTTCAAACCACAGCACCGCAAAAAAGAAAAAAAAAAAACAGAAAAGAACCTGCTGTGGCCCTTTCACAGGCAGCCCCTTGTGACAACCTAATGTGAAGCTGGCAAGTATGGAAACTGAGGAGCCGGTGGAGGACAGCGCACTGATACTCACCACTGGGCAACTGAGCTCCACGGGAGACATCGGGAGGACCAGACTTGTCATGCATCCCTGCCTGCACAGCCTCAGAGGACCTGAGTGTCAGTCCAGCCACAGGAAGAGCCCGGCAAGCACCTGCTTGAACAATAAAGACACGTGGTATCTCCATCAAGAAGTAGGCAGCCATGCAGGTGCCGGTGGCTCATGCCTGGAATCGTAGTTTCTTGGGAGGCTGAGATCAAGAGGATCAAGGTTCAAGGCCAGCCCGAACAAATAGTTTGTGAGATCCTATCTCCAAAAAAATAACCAAGAGCAAAGTGGACTGGAAGCGTGGCTCGTGCGATAGAGCACCTGCTTTGCAAGTGTGACACCCTGAGTTCAAAACCCAGTCAAACCAAAAAAAATAGTTGCCGAACTGATCAATTCAGCTTCTCAGTTTCTCTTGGTTTTCCTGTCGCGGCTGCAAGATGGCA